CTTCAAGAGCTGTTTCATGACACATACAACCTTGCTGCATGAAGTGAATGGGAAGACATTAGCCTTTGCCTTCTAAGGGTAAGGAGGAAAGAAGGGTGTTTTGTGCAATTTGAATGATGTGGGAATTTATCATCATGAGCACCAATGGTTTTGGGGTGTTTTGATAATAATGATGCATACAGAGGTGCTTACTCATTTTTAATGTTTGGTAGATTAAGTGACTATTACATTAAGATAGATTCTCGTGGTGTGTCTAAGCTTTGCACTTTAACTTACTCGGGTTCCTGTTATTGTGAACAATTTTGCCTCAGAGTAAGGGTAAGTCAGACAAAATTTTGTCCGCTCTTTGGTGTTTGGTCCCTAAGTATGTTTGTTGTTTTAGAGTCAAGTCCCAATTTGTTTGAAAATCTTTTTGTCTTACACAATCCTTTTTTCAGTGTTTTTTTTTTCAGTGTTTTTGACTAATATGTTGTAAATAATGTAAAGATGCTTTGAAAAATGATATTTTCATAATAAAAGATAAAAAAAAAAAAACACGCCCGATCTCGTCCGATCTCGGAAGCTAAGCAGGGTCGGGCCTGGTTAGTACTTGGATGGGAGACCGCCTGGGAATACCAGGTGCTGTAAGCTTTTTCACTTTGCCGCTGCTTCAGTGGGTAGACAGTTTTGAAAAAGAGAGCAGCTCCTCTCTGGACTCTGAAATGTGTAATTTGCACTCATTTACTTACTTAGTTTTAGCCCAACCCTTTTCCTAAACCTAACCCGGTAGTTTTGTTGCCTGAACCCAACCAAAGGATGACTGCTTCACAACGTTACCCGCGCGTTTAACCTCGTGTGACTCAAGTCAGGTGACTCACTTCATGTCATTTATGGCACATTGTTAAGGGTCCGGTACGCCTGTCCCTTCAACTTATGTGGTTTGGGACAACTGACAATGGACCTCTTTTGTCGTGTAGGTACGAGGACATGTTGCAGCGTAAGACCATTGGTTGTGTTTCCTCAATATCTACTGTTGCTACCTCTTTAGACAAAGCTGAGGTTACAGCATCTTTAAAAGGGATGCTCGTGGGAGCCCCTGTGGCTTACGGCCATACCACCCTGAACACGCCCGATCTCGTCCGATCTCGGAAGCTAAGCAGGGTCGGGCCTGGTTAGTACTTGGATGGGAGACCGCCTGGGAATACCAGGTGCTGTAAGCTTTTTCACTTTGCCGCTGCTTCAGTGGGTAGACAGTTTTGAAAAAGAGAGCAGCTCCTCTCTGGACTCTGAAATGTGTAATTTGCACTCATTTACTTACTTAGTTTTAGCCCAACCCTTTTCCTAAACCTAACCCGGTAGTTTTGTTGCCTGAACCCAACCAAAGGATGACTGCTTCACAGGCCTCTGACAGCTACTCTCCAATTTCTTCCAAAACACATCAGTCCAACATGAAATTCCACCTAGAGACCAATGCCGCAAACCGTTTGGCTCTAGTATCTTCCTGTCAAAAGTTATTCCCCGAAAACTCGCTAGACTTTTGACACTTAGAATTTAGCTGTTATTTCTGGTCTTGACTGTGGATGCACATCACAGGACAGTGCACCAGACTGGCTGACGCAGAGCTTTCCAAGTCGTTAGCCAGCTCTTTTCCCCTTCACCTAACCCCTAACCCTTTTGGCTAGAACCAATGTGTATGCATTGAAAAACTGATTCTCTCCTTTGGTGTTAATAACAGGGCACAAAAAACAATGACTACTGTTAAACAAGTTCAGAGAGCAATCAGGATGGTGAAGCTGGCTTTTCCCCAGGCCACAGTCATGGTGCCGGAGATTAACTTCTCCAGACACCTACCTCACGCAGAGCAGGAGAACCTCAGACAGCTGAACCACTATCTCACTAACAATCAGCTGTTTATCCTGCTCTCCCAAGGAACGACTTCACCACCGAGAGAGACGGCATCCACTGGTCTCACTCCACGGCCCAGCACATGCTGGACCACTGGCTGGAGTCGTTAAAGTAGGTACCCCCGTGAACACACGTCCTCAGATTGTCTGCAGCCCAGTCTGCTCTACTCAGCAGGGGCCTAAATTTCATTCCCTCAATTAGCAGCAACTCGGACTTGAATAAACAAATCAGATTCAACATCCAACAGTACCACAGACGACTCAAACTAGCGACTTACTTTGCACACAAGCCTGACTCAGACCGCCCACTGTTCACCCCTAAATCGCAGTGGGTTCCCCCTAAGGGCAAATTACCCCCCGAAATTGAAACACTCATTCAGACGGACTTACAGCACTTCCAGGACCACTTCAGACTGGGCTGGGTCCCTCAGAACCTGAACAAATTTGAATCTGAAGCATTAGATCAATTACGACACAACAAAGACATTGTCATCAAACCAGCGGATAAGGGCAGTGCAATAGTGATTATGGACAGAGAGCAATACCTGTGGGAGGGATACAGACAGCTACTGGACACGACTTACTACTCCAAATTAAAGAAACCCATCTACATGGACACAATCCCGGCAATTGACAAGATTATACAATCACTACATGACAAAAAATTCATCAACCATAAACAAAAACTGTACCTGATGGGAGACAGCGAACCCCGACCTAGACTCTTTTACATGCTGCCTAAAATCCACAAACCCCCTGCTGGGTGGAGCAGACCCGGGGAAATCCCTCCTGGGAGACCCATCGTGTCCGACTGCAGCAGTGAGACCTATCACACAGCTGAGTTCATAGATCACTATCTCAATCCTCTTTCGATTAGACATGCCAGCTACATCAAAGACACATATGATTTTGTTCAAAGAATTAAGCAGATCCAAGTACCCCCTAATGCATTTTTATTTACCATGGACATTGATAGTTTATATACAAATATTGTAATTTCAGAAGGCATTCAGGCCATTAAAAACATATTCCTACAATACCCAGACGCTAAAAGACCAGACAGAGAGTTGCTGCAGCTCCTTGAAATAAATTTGACCAAAAACGATTTTGAATTTAACGGACAATTCTTCCTCCAAATTAAGGGAACAGCCATGGGTAAGAAATTCGCACCTGCTTACGCCAATATTTTCATGGCAGAATGGGAAACAGCTGCACTCAACTCCTGTCCCAAAAGACCCCTTTATTATTATAGATACCTGGATGATATTTGGGGAATCTGGCCCTATTCGAGAGAGGATTTTGATGTCTTTGTGATCTCCCTGAACAACCACAATCCATCCATCAAACTGAAATACTGTATTAACCAGACTGCTGTGGACTTTCTTGACACCACCACTTTTAAGGGCCCAGATTTTGATTCGACTCTCAGACTTGACCTCAAGGTGTTCTTTAAAGAAACAGACACACATGCCCTACTACATAAATCCAGCTTTCATCCCAAACACACATTCGCAGGTCTGATAAAGTCACAACTTCTGAGATTTCACAGGATTTGTACAAGAGCAGACGATTTTAAAGCGGCCACGAAGGTGCTGTTCTCGGCTCTGTCCAGCAGAGGGTACTGTAGGTCCTTCCTACGCAGAGCCTTGAGAACCTTTCAGCACCCAAATTGCTCACCACTGATTCTCTCCTTCCTGTTATCACCACCTATTCCCCCGCAGCAGTACAGCTGGTTAGGACACTCAAAAATAATTTCCACCACTTAACATCTACTACTCAGCTGTTACAGAACCATAGGCTCATTGCTGCCTACAGAAAAAACAAAAACCTGCAGGACACTTTAGTTAGGGCCAAGCTGGCACCACCCACTGACTCTAGACCCATCGGGCACGGAGAATTTTTTAGGCACCACCCCTGGGTGCTGAATCCCCACAAGAATGTTTTTACCACACATAGGCATGGCAGTGTTCATTCCCGGAATTGTGTTTATTTGATTAGATGTAGGCAGTGTAACATGCAGTACGTTGGAGAAACAGGGAACACCTTGTTGACCAGGTTCACACAACACAGGTACAACATTTTAAGGAAGAAAGACACACACATCCCCCTGGTTAAGCACTTTATTGAGCATGGCTGGTCGCAGCTCACCGCGCTTATCCTCCAATGTAATCCCAGGTGGTCCACAGCCCAGAGACGACGTGAGGAGAGGCTCTGGATACACCGACTGGGCACTTTGACTCCGGGGGGCCTCAATGAGAAGTGAGGGCTCGGGACTGGCTGGCAGCTGATGGCGTCGACATTTCAAATTTTTCTTCCCCAACCCTTTTTGACATTTGTCCTGACAACTGGGAACACAGACCCCCCCCCCATTGTAAGTGATGCCAAATGTCAAAAAAAATAAGGAACTGAAAATTTTTGACATTTGGCATCACTTTCATGCCAAATGTGGGGGGGGGTCTATGTTCCCATTTGTCAAACTGGACCTTGTGGTCCTGGGGCCCCCCCAGGTACCATCAGAACAGTAGAGGGGCCACCAGCTGTGGTTCAGGTACCGACGACGTTAGTTTTGACAGTTGGGAAGCTTTTGACATTTGGGAATAGTGACCCCCCCATTGTAAGTGATGTCAAATGTTAAAAAATGAGGAAATGAACATTTTCTGACATTTGGCATCACCTACAATAAGGGGGTCACTATTCCCAAATGTCAGCATGGACCTTGATGACAATTGGGAACAAAGACCGCCCCAGGCGTTACTGTGGACAAGTATTAACACACACACACACACACACACACACACCCCCCCCCCCCCCATCTGCACTCGCCGTTACTGTGGACCGAAAAACACCTGCGCGGCCGAACACGTCGCTTTTATGCCAACGCGCCTCCAATTAGGTTAAGACCGAGTCAGCTAACCAACATCTGATCAAGGGTCGTAGTTTAACGCCAGTGTAGCGGGCGGAGTTCGTTCCCCTGAGTTCACTCTGTAGGCCTCTGGTCTTTATTGAAAGCGCTCTGAGGTAACGGCTGTTATAAATAAAATGTAACTTTAATGCACCAAAAATATAGATCTAAAAATAAATGTTTCTGCAGCCTTAATAAGATCATGAAGACTCAAATACAGAAAACAAAGACTTTTAATTTGAAATTACAAACGGCTTCCTGTTCAGGTATTTACAGCTGCAAAAACATAACATCTTTATAAAAAACAAAAACTGTCCTCTTCTTTCTGCGTCCGTGCAGTCCATTGTTATTAGACTCCCAGAATGCTTTGCGTTCAGACAGGTGTCACTGGGTAGAGTCCATTTCCTGTTCACCTGCTGATGTGGCGTCCTTACTCTGACGCGTCGCTGTCTTTCTGTTTCTTCTTCTTTTTCTTCTTCTTGGCACTTTCGACCTGCAGGACACAACAGCTCGTTACTCAGACGGTCGATAAAGTTTCGTATCGTTCATTTAATCTGCCAACAACATCGATACTTAAAGGAACGGCGTGTTGGTCGCTGAACTCAAAGTTAACTCACCTCTGTGGTAGGCTCCGCCCCCTCCTCTTCAGGCTCCGTGGCTGCACCGCCATGCCCCGCCTCCTCCAGTTTTGCCCTCTTCTCTTTCTTTTTCTTCTTCTTCTCTTTCTTCACGTCCTCTGCAGACGGCGTGCCAGGCGTCGCAGCTTCGCCGTCGCTGTCTGCCGCCTCCCGCTTCCTCTGCAGAGCACAAAGGTCAAATACTCGTCAGCCAACACGACATCAGAAAAGGTGGTCGCTGTGACAAAGACCGCTCTCACAGCGGCGTTCTGCCCGCCCCCTCATGAAGGTGAGCTGGA